AGAAATATATTGAATTGTATGACTTGTGGATGAAGTGCTAATAAAACTGTTAAAAAAACTTTTTGCTAAGAAAATGTACTATTTTTGTTAAATTTTTTATTTGTAACCTATTGCAAAACAACTGTACTTCCTTCAGTTGATTGTGTTTTCTAGTCTTTTGAGTCATAATGTTTTAAAGTCTCTGTATGTTTAAATATAATAGTATTTAAGTTACATGTAATGATTAAATTGATGTGATAATCTCATCATTTTATAATAAACTTACAATCTTCATGGTTTAGTTCATTCATTTTTAGCATAAGAAGAAAATTAAAAGTACAAACTCACTGTAGTTTGAAAATTCATCAATAGCTAAGCAGAATAGTGACTGAGGGCTGGAAGGCGTATGTTCAAACAGGCAGCCATCTAAGTGAGTCAACTAAGTCCACGTGGAAAAAGCACACAGCTTAGGAGATCCAAAGATGACCGTAACAAAATTCAACTATGACGAAGGGAAAAGTATTAGAGCTAAAATGTGAACACCCAATTTGTAGAAGGCTGTGGAGGGCAGTGGGAGCCCAAAACCCTTTGGCAGATCCCCTCTCGACACAGGCAAAGATCTGGAACAGCCTTCCTATCACGCATGGATCACTGTAATCCTGATTAGGCTGGATAAAACTGGATACTTGGCCAGTGGACCTCCCTCTAGACCCAACCTGAATTTGTTCTAGGTGCAAGGATCTCTTGCTTGTTCCATGACAAAAATTCCTCTCCTGGCTTTTTAAGTATTGATGGAGGTCTTTTCTTTATTGCTCATTGTTGGCATTTTTATAGTACTATTGTTTTATCTTTACCATCTCATCTCGTTCTGTTCTTTATCATCTCTGTTGGGTTTACCAGATTGTGAAACTGGATGCATAGAGTTAATAACTGATGCACGGATTGGTAGGAGATGGTTGGGGGGGTGGGGAGAGGGAGATGGGGACGGGGGAGGGGATTTCAGGAGTAAACAATGAAGGTGGGAGTTGGAGGGAACACTAGAACTGAATGTGATTACACAATTCATTTTAAAGGTGATTTAATCATGGGAATTCTGAGATTGTGGTAATGATAGTGCAATTCTTGATATGGTTAAAAGATTGAAGTGGATTATGTGCTAATATAACAAAAAAAATCAATAGCTATAACACTAATACATGTGACATGATAGCACTGCTTACCTATCTGAGAGGTCTTTTTATGTTTAAACATTCAGATGTAATTATAAAATATGTAAGAAATTACTTGCTGCTATGGTCATGGGCATTTTAGGTTTAAGCTCCTCAAACTCACAAGACTACCAGGGCTGCACTAACACCGGTTTCTTGAAAAGGTTTATTAGTAACATCAGCCTGTCAGTAGTCCTTGTCAGTAGCAGAAGTCCTTGTGGCAAAGCTCACAGTGTCGTTTAGGCGCAAGGAGATGAGGGCCTGTCCAGATAGGATCCAATATGTCTTCTAACCGTCCCATAAAATTAGCTTTGAGGATACCCACAAGGGGCATGTCAGTTTTAAGAGTTACCACACTCGGGGAAGCCCAAAACACGGTGTCTCCATTTTCCTGATAGTGCTTTGTAAAGATGGCATGACAGCACCAAACTGCTAACTTTAGAAGTGGAAAGATTGATATCAAGACTAAGGTGAAGGTCAAACATACCTCCTCCTTCCTACCTTTTTACCAATCCTTGACATGACACGCTGTCCCCACCGCTTTGCTGG